GGGAGGGAGAAAAAGAGACAGAGTGCACGGTTTTTGTTCCACGACAATCGACGCCATTGTGACGGGATAATTGGAAATTGGCGTTGAGGCGGCGGCGTTTTAACGCTGCCGCGAGACGTCGTCGTCCTCATCGGTTTCCGATAGCGCGACTACTAGTTACCAGCCGAATGCGCTCCTTTCCTAACGTACGTCCGCGTTCATCCGCCTACGCGCGCGTCCGGGTTCCGGAAATGTTAACCTTTGCGTCCGCTCCGTCCGATGTTATCGACGTTATCAGTGTGAAAAAAAAATAATTAACGACTGATCTCGGAGTCTTATCAACGAAGCCGACACACGTGTGCCGATTGTCGCGACGAAACCGCGATAACACCGTTAACCCAATGACCAGTGTTTCATTTGTATATGGAACGCTCCTCTTTCGTTGAACAGAATTATTTGTATTTTTCTTTCCAGCAGTAAATTGTCGAGTTTTGTCTACACTTTGGATAAAAAATAATGTTAATATTAATCCGACTGCCCTACACTGGAAAAAGAAGGTTTCTGTGAGAAAACAGGGAGCAGATGATAACTCGGCGATAAGAAGTGGACAAGAATCTCCGTTCTCGTGATTGAGAAACTTCGTTTGAATATTCAGCTGCATCGAAACTCGGTTGAGACTACTGAGACGAACAATTGGCCGAGTGAAAACCCCCTGCAGAGAATTTTTCGGTTCCTACAGTCGGATTTTCTCCTCAACTCTACCATCTTGTCGGGAGAAAAATTGTGATTCGCGCCGAGATGAATATAAATTTTAACCGAGAATTTTCATCGTGTTCTTTGTCAGTGCGGGGGGAGTAAATAGAACGAACCTTCGACTGAAAACGTTGGCGAAACGATCAGGACCTTCGACGGGTTAATGGCGTAAACACGTCGCTCACGTCGCCGAAATATCAATGGGCGACCGCACATGTCCGATATGCGGCGCGTCGGCACAGACGCCACTCCGGAGATGCCAATCGCAATCGAAGCAAATTGGATCTCACGCCGGGCGAGTCGCACCGACTAACTCCCGCCTTCCGCTTTCGATCGCCCCTCCTCGCGGGGGGGGGGGGGGGGNNCGGAGATCTCGCGACGGACAGTAGCCGCTTTATTGAGTAGCGGTCGAATGATATCGATAGAGTCCACACCGACGAGGAGGAGGACAGTCATTAATGAGACACTTTCTAGCCGTCGCGAGCCGAGCGAGGAGAGACGCATTGATAAGAAGCCGGATACGCACAGAGCGAGCCACTATTCCAGGAGAACCTCGCGAGAACCTCGTTAGTTTCACAAATGAGCAGTAGAGACGTTCCGTAATCTGTTACAGCCGATGACCCCGCGCGCTGACCGCGAGTTACGCGATTGCGAATAATCAACACTGTGAGAAAGAGAGAGAGAGAGAGAGAGAGTGAGGGGGGGAGGGGATAGTGTTATCATCATTCTAAGACAATTTCTCTAAGCATGTTATAGCAATAATTTGGCAGTAAAAACTTTGAGAAGAAAAATAAAAAGAAAGGGAAAAAGCTGAGATATAGATAATTTAATCAGCGCTGTGGGACTCCCCCCAAACGCAAAAGTAGGGAAAATAATTATAGAAGAAAAGAAAAAATAATTGAAGGTAAAGCAATTAATTAGGTATATGAGTACAATTACAAAATAGAGAGAGAGAGAGAGAGACTCGCGCGGATTATCCGCTCGGCGGAGCGATTCGATCGCGAGGTGATTCGTCAGCTAACCAACTGGCGCGCTACACGTGTACGGTAATTGAGACTTGCTCAGCTGCTTGAGTAATTAGCCGCGTCTGCATGACCCGCGACCCAGCTTACTTATATCGAAGCTTCGTTCCCGCGGCGCGGCTCGACTTATCCCGCGGCGTGCTTTTCACGCGCTCCGAAGCGCGACAGTCGGAGAGGCTACTTGTGTTGAAATTTTGACGGCACTTTGACGCTCTTGAGGATAGTTCGCGCCTACTTGGCGCCCCTACTTCGGTGGCCTGTAGATTAATGAAAACCTACTTTGACGATATCGGCACTTGTCAACTTCTCCCTTCAATCTTCAATTCTACAGATTTCATTTTAACCCTCGAAACAACATGTTTTAACGTTGAAACGGGGAAAATGGAAATTTAAAACACTATCTGGGACATCAAAAGAGGAGAAAATTATGCTGTAAACAAATTTATGAAGATATATAATAAAAGATTTTTTTTTAATCTAATTTTATCTATCATTATTATTATAAAAATTTATTATTATTATTAATAAAATTGAAATTTTAAACCTATTTTGCTATCTGAATTCCCATATTATAGAATCAAAGGTTTAATTTGTTCTACATATTTTTTTGTTAGTCACGTGTTCTCTATTTTCATAATTATGATTATTTGTTCTCTATTTTCATAATTATGATTATGTCGGTCATTTATAATCTTTCTATAATTCACATACATTAATTAAATTAAATTTAATTTAATTTAATTGTTTTCCCGTAAATAAAAATTATTACCATTGTTACAAACGTAGGACCAAAATTTCGACTCGGATAATTATTATCGAGTCTCATGGCGCGCGCGCGCGAGAGAGAGAGCTTAGTTAAAAATTGTAGGAGAACTGCGGAGTGCAAATGGAATTACGATGCGGAAGCCTCGCGCGCGCGCACGCGCTCACTCACTCGCTCACGCACGTGAGCCGACGCGCGCTGCGCGCGCGGTTTTATTATCGCCGCATAGCGTGAGATCATGTTTATAAGCGCGACCCACGATGGGGAATCATCGGGCGGCTTTCTAAAATTAGTATACGACCGCTCGTAAAAACAACGACGCTTTTCGAGACCCTGAAAACGCATGTTCCCTCCATGATATCTCGCCGATCTTGCGATGTCACATTCAATTAATATCGATAATGAATCGAAATCTTGACCTCATGTTAAACCTTCAATTTTCAACACCGTAGGAACTATGAGATAGCAAGATAGAAGTTCACATACAAACAGACAATTCTAAGAATACAATTTATTCTTCTTTAGATTCCTCGATAGTGTCTTAAATTTATGTTTTCGCCGTTTAAGCGTCAGAAACGGATTGTTCAAGATAGAATTGAAAATAAATCCGCCGAATTGAGAGTTCAAGAGAGAAGTTAAGCAATGTCGTCAAAATAGATTTAACCGTCTATACGGGCTACTTAAATAGGCGTCAATTATCCATGAGGGCGTCTAAGTAGCGTGAAAATTTCGGGAAGTGTGCACCAAGGATATCAGATGAAAAAAAAAACATATCCGACGGAAATTCAACTCGCGGGCGAGCGACTCGTCGGCGGACGACTGGTAGTACGCGGAATGAGCGCGGGAGTCGCGCGCCAGCTTAATTGCGCCGTCGTTAGAGGCGGCTAAATGGGCGCGTTTGTTGCCGTTTTTACAAGGCGGCGAAATAGAAAGGCAGAAACGGGCCGTGAAAAAGCGCGGATAAGGCGGACTCGAGAACGACTCGAGTGAGGAGACCGTGGCGGACCCTTCTGCGATTTCACGACGACGAAGGGAGCAAAAGGTCCGCGGATCTCCGCGGTAAAGCGGACGGCGAGCCGCCTCGTAGAGAGAACGCGACTTCCGGACTCTCGAACCGGAATGGAATACGATTAATAAGGCGACTGCCTGGCAGCCGCACACCTACATGGGTGTGCAAGGTGTATATTTAACTATGGCATGCACGCACCAGCGAGCGAGCGAGCGAACGAGTCTCCAGCTCGCGTCGCGCCAAGACGACGTCGGTTAGCTCGGAGCTCGCAAGAGACACTCGCGTGAATTTCTCACCGAGAGAGAACGACGCCGGGACACAGTCGGTCCAAAAAGCAATCTCGATACTAAATTCCCGTCACTTCAGAAACCTCGTGGAACGGCACACGAAGTCGAGCGGAGAGACGACAAAGGGAGCAGGCGCTCTCTAAATTCCTCGTAGTGAAATCTCACTCAAAACGTGTGAAAATTCACTCGGATCGACGGTGAAAATCGACCCCGAAGAGAGAAGAGCGCCTTCTCGTATCTCTTGATTGTAATTGCACGGTGAAGCAATTATAGTCGGGGAATCCATGTTTGTGTTAACGATAATTACCTCATGCGCACACATTTTGTTGGCACCCCCTTTTTTTTTTGTGAGAAAAGCAAAAAGAAATTGGCCAGTGTCGAAAGTGAATGATAATTCTAGTGTGAGATGAATCTTTCTTTTCTTTTTCTCTCATTGTATCGCCACTCGGAATCGCAAGAGAGTGAATGTTTAATTCAAACTGTAGAGTGAATTCTTAATCCACACGAATATTTCCGTTAATTAAAGTGAGTGTTCCAGTGACTCGAATTCGAGCGGATAGGCCGTCTACCTACTTTTCGAGTGGAATTTCATTCAAAAAAAATTTAGAGAGAGAGAGAGGGAGAAAGAGAGTACCAAATGGACATGTTATTTCCATTTCTTAAAAGCCGCCGGACAAATTTTACACCTTCGGGAGCTGGAGCCCGCTCGCTATTTTGCATACCATTGCATAACTAAATCCAATTATACCGCATCCTTCCGAAATGAGCGCAGCTCGCGGACTCCAGCCACTTGCGAAAGCTCGAATGGCGGCTTCCTAAATTACATCCCGCAGCTTGCGGGATGATTCATCGCTCCTAAACGCGAACGGGCGTGGGATATCGACTCCGTTCTGTTTAACGTCTCGCCAAACAAACCGAGATAGGCAGCCGCCGAAAATCCCCCGCTGTTACAAACGAGATAATCCTTCAACGAAGTAGCGTGCATTAGAGAGCGAGAAAATCAAAAAGAAGCGGAAAGATTCAATTGAAAAAATAAAAAATGTAAAATCGCGCGATGTCTCCGAAGCGCCTCGAGGAATTATCGTGTCGTCTAAATAAATAAGTCATTTCTCTCCGCCATGTCTTCCACGTGTGCACAGAGAAAAAGATTTCTTTAGATTCGATAAAATTATCTTAATTGAAACCAAAATTTGTTTCTTCGAACAGGACTGAGAAATGTCTGATTCGATACACAGGACTGTTTGGTTTCTCAGACAATAAATATCTTTACGTCGAGCAACATCTTTTTTTCGTTCTCTCATCCGAACACTACAATGGTTGTCACGAGCAATAAATTATTTGAAAGAAGCAATACAATGTTGGAAAAATATTAGAACGTTTTCTTTGTTTTCTGGAACAACAGTTAATACATAATTAAACAAACAAATTTTTTTACTGGAAACAAAACATTATTTCCTCCAAACGATACTGTTTTATTCCATCAAACAACATGATTAACTCCAGTGAAATATCACTTTCACTCAAAGTGAGATATTTGATCTTAAATTATGTTGTTTATATTAAACAAACACAAGTCAAACGCTATATATACTAAATCCGAAGAAACTTTTTTTCTCTGTGTACGTGCGTATCATCAGCAACGCGTTTTGCGCTTTTGCGGAATTGGCAATTTATTCACCGCACGTGTTGCAAAAAGAAAATAGTCTCCCACTCTTTCGCCTGAAACAGAAACAGCTCTTTCTTCTCCCCGAGGGAGCGTTTTCGGCGCAGCTGAATCGAAACGGGAGACGACGCCGCTTCGGCGAAATGTAATACGATAAAGCAAATGTTTGTTAAAGGCGCAAGAGGGAGGCATCAGATAGGACGTTCCCAGAAGAGCGATGTTGATTGGCGGCGGGCACGGCAGGCCAATGAAAATACGCCGGCGAGAAATTACGAGCGATCCTCGACGAGATCACGTATCGTAATTATTCTCTCCGACGTTCCGCCCGATGCGCGTCCGCGTGATATTCGAAAGGCGGGATTCACCGCGACCATCGACGGAACGGACGCTTCATTTTTCCGCGCGCGAATCGGAAAAGCGGGTCGAAATCAACGAGACGACCTGTCGGGGGGACCGTCGTCGGAAGAGCGAAGTTTCAGTCGATCGGGAGAAGAAAGAGGCGGGGGAGGATCGGAGGGCGGTTCGGGCGAGTTGTAAAACGCAATTAGGTCGCGGGAATGACGCGCAGGGGCGGGGGAGAAAAGGGGGGAGGGCGAACGTTTCCGCGGACCGGAGAGAAATGACGAGAATCAGCCGGGGGAGGTCCGACACGTCGGGCTTGCCTGGCGACGTGGACGCGCGTATGTTGGGTGGTACGTGGTGGTCTCGCGCGTGTACGTGGACGCGAGAGAGTGAAATTACATCGATTGATTACGGTGTGCGCGCGATTAGAGAACGGAATTAGACGGACCGGGCGGGTGACCGCTCGTACCCGTTCGTCCGAGTCGCGCGCGAGACGGGAGGAAACGAATGCGCGGCGTGTTTCGTCGACGGTGCGATTGCGACAACGCAGGCGGTGTTCGGTGTGGGACGAAATGAAAGTAGATTTAAACAAAACGAACCGAACGCGGCGATCGCGCGCTGGCGTGCGACGGTGTGGGACGATAATGGAGGCGACACGCCGAGGAATCGGGCGGAATCGCGCCGTGATCGGCGAGTCGATATTTAGACGGGCCTAACGCGGCGGTCAAAGGCCGTGGAAAATCGAAGAAAGCGGGCTCGCTGGCTTGCAACGGCAGACGTCGCGACGTCGACGAAGAGGAGCGGAGGAAACGCTTCGTGCGACACGGCGAAGCCCCACCGGCCGTTGCGGACTGAAGATCGCGGATTAGAGATTGGAGTTCGAGTTTGGCTCGGCTTGATTTTGACTTTGACTCTTGATCACTTTGACTGTGGCTTTGCCCCGATCGGTCGAACTTCAATCTGCAATTCTCCATTTGCATTATATCGATTGAGGCAAATGTAAAGTATCAAATCAGACATCGCAGATTAGACATTAGAATTCGATTTTGACTCGCTTTTGTTCCGATCGGTCGATTTCAAACTTCCCAATCCGCGATTCTTTAATAATACTTCGGTTCGCGTAGGTTTAAAGCCAATGTTAAATTAGGTGTTGCAGAAATTCAAAATTGCGGATTAGGAATTAAAATTCGATTTCGGCTTGGTTTTGATAATTTCGATCTGGCTCGCTTCGGTGCCGATCAGTCAGGTTTCAGTCTCCCAACGTCTAAACTGAGAAACAGGCTTAAGACGCACGAGGCGATAATGGCGACAATGATCCTACTTACGTATTATTACATTAGCTTTAGTCCGATGTTGGGAAAAAGAGTGACGCAAGGATGGTAAATAGTAAACACCGGCATATCGGCAGTCGTCGGTACCAAAGATATATTGGCGGCATGACTCGACGTAAACAGTGAGAGAAAGAAAGAAAGAAAGAGAGAGAGAGAGAGAGAGGGGGAGAGAGGGAGGGAGGGAGAGAGAGAGAGAGAGATCGATCGGGGAATCGACGTTCTCAAAAACGTAACTTAGAAATTAATCGCGCCGTTGTTACGTCGCGTAACAACGATGAACGAGACCATCGTTATCAAGTTTGACAAGCAGCTTTACGAGGGGTAATCAGGAACCCCTCCTCTGTATTTACACGACGCGTCCCAACAACTTGTTGCTCTCGGAGGCCTCCGCTCGGCGTGCACGCCGAACGTTCGGTGGTCTCACGCGACTCACCTGACACTGGAAGCGCTTCGCTGAATGTCCACATTGTTCCTCCTGCCGGCTTCCTCGAGAGTGGCGATCTCCTGGCGTCTCCTCTCCTCCTCAGGCGGGTGCAACGGTATGATGATGTAGTCCGGCTCCTTCTTCTTAGTGGTCGCAGCTGACTGCTGCTGCTCCTCGCTCGTCCTCGGCTCGGCTGTTTTCTTCTGCGCTTCCGAACGCGGAACCTTCGTCCTGCCGCTGAATCTCAGCCTGGAGAACCTCTGCAGGAAGCCGCCCAGGCCGCTCTTCTTCCTCTCCTCGCTCTTCATGACGGACGACGACGACGTCGTCGACAACGGTAAGGACGATAATGAGGACGAGGCGACGGTGGCCTCGTACTTGCCGCCGTGCTCCTTCTTCCTCGGGGTAGCGACGACGTACGGCCGCTTCGCGATTGTTACGGCCGCGTCGTCCTCGTTGCTGCTCAGCGCGCGCTCCTCGTGACGTTTGTCGCGATCACCACGATGATTCGTATCAACTGCCACGGCCACCGTCGGCTTCCCACTACGTTCGTCGGCTCTCGTCCGGCCGTCGGGTGGGGACGAGCCAACACCGTGGACACTCTGCCCCCCCTCCTCCTCTTCCTTCTTTTCCACCACCTCCGCCCCGTCGCCCGCTTCCTTCTCGCGCTCCTCCGCCGTCTCCTGCCTCGCCGTTTGTTTCTCGATCACGACCCTCCACAGACGTTCGCCGGCGCCCCGGCCGCCAGGACTCGGGGCACGCTCCTCGCTCGGCGCGTTCCCCGAGTCCTCCTCCCGGCGATTCTCGCTACCGTCGTCCTCCGGAGAGAACTCACCGATCGGGCCGCTCTCCTCTGCCGCGGGCTCCTCGACGGGATGTTCCAGGACAGCAGCCTCCTCCAGCCGCGGCGGTATCTCCGTCTCGGTCCTCTCTCGCAGAACGACTCCCTCCAAGTAGGACGCTCCTATGGGTTTGGTTTCCAAGCAGGGGTAATCTACCTCGTCGTCTACCAGGCGCGAGCGCGCACTAACATCGCCACAGACCGAAAATGGACCCGAGTTTTTTTTTATCTGACCGAAGAGCGAGTCGGCCGGGTCGCTGCTGCTGATCGTGCGGGAGGAGGCGGTGTTGTTGTCCGCCGGTCTGTAGTACGAATCCTCGCTGATGTTGCTGCCCGAGCCCATCTGGCGCATCACGTCGGCGACCCTCGGTGCCGAGGAGCGGCCGGACGCGGAGGAGGCCTCCTCCAGTTCGTCGCAGGCGTCCATCCGGTGGAACGCCGCTCTGCCGCTCTGCATCGCCTTCACGAAGTACTCGCTCTGCTGGGCCAGCTCGTAGCTGGCGTTGTTCAGCACGTGCCTCCGGCCGGGCGAGCCGGCTCGCTTCGGAACCTCCTCCTCCTCGTCGTCCTTGCCGCGAGCAAGCCGGAAGTTCCGCTCGTCCACCTCGAACTGCTGGGCCAGCTCGTAACTGGCGTTGTTCTTCACCCTGCGGCTCCTCACACGGCCGGACGGCGTTCGCTGGATCGTCTCCATCGCCAAGATGGCGGCGTTCGCGACTCCGGAGGCCGCGGCCTCCTCCACCTCGCGCTTGAACTGCTTGATCGCCTCGTCGATCTCGTTCTCCGTCATCATCGCCATGTCCAGGACGCAGTTGGCGCGATCCTGCGTCTTCACGGTCGTCGTCCTCGGCTGCTGGCGCGGCTCACCGTGATCCGCGCCGACCTTGGCGCGCTCTTCGCCGCTCCTCTTCTCTTCGCGCTCCGCGCTCTCCATCAGCGCGCTCTGCTGCGCCGGCTGCGTCCTCACCGAACTGGTCAATGTGACCTTGCCGCCCGTTGTTGTTCCTCCCGGTGCCTCGTCGTTCTCCGTCGAGCTGCTCGTTCCTTCCTCCTCCTCGGAAGCGGTCCTCCGCTCGTCTCGATCGCCGGGCGCGGCGGCCTCCGCCATTTCGTGGCCGTTCATCTCCTCGTCGTCGTCGTCGCGACTATCGTCGACGCACGCGACGACGCCGCAGAGATTCAGATCCACCGGCACGCTCGCAACCCGCGTGTAGTTCTCGAAGAGGCTCGACGTCGACACGTAGGAGGTCGTCCTCGAGGTGCGAGGAGCACCCTCGCAGCCGTTCAGCCGTGCTGACTCCTCGATACTGCCGAGCAGACTGGGCGCGCTCTGCGACTTGTCCGTGAATCTAAAATTAAAGCGCTCCTCGTCGCTCCACCCTTGGTACTGCTGCTGCTGCTGTTGTTGGCGGCGGCAGCGACGGTGGTGGTGGTGGTGGTGGTGATGGTGACGGTGATGATCGTGCTGGTCGTACTGCTGCTGTTGGAACTGCTGCTGCGAATGCTGATGATGATGATGATGGTGATGATGATGATGGTGGTCCGCGGCACCGTTGCCGCCAGCGGCGACGGCTATATTTAACCTGGCGGTCTTCTGCCCGGACTTCAGCTCCAAAAGTGCGTCCCTCTTCGTCTCCACGCCGATCTCCCGCAGGTCGATCGTGTTCCGGTAGTCCAAGGACGTCGCGTACTTGCCGGACTCACCGAACAGCAGCAGATGGTCGTCGTAGCCGCTCGTCGTCAATCGGGACTCGTTCGCGCCGCTCTCGTCGTCGTACTCCTCGAAGTCGTCCTCGTCGTCTTCCTCGTCGTACTCGTCCTCGTGCCAGAAGTCTCTGTTTCGTAGGTACGGTGAGAATATTGACGCGCGTGGACGTGCTTGTTTCGTTTCTACTTTTCTCCCTTTTATTTATTTTTTTTCTTTTCTTTTCCTTTTTACGTCTCAAAGGCACTCGCGAGGGTTAAACCACCGCGAGATTCGGCAACTCTCGGTCGCTCTCTCGATAATCTTCTGACGATTATAATATCGCACGGTAAAAGTCAAGGTGGTCTCCCCTCAGGGTCGCGATTGCATTTAACTTGGCCGTAAAACGATCGTCGTCGCACGCGGCGGAGTCTGTCGGCGCGCCTTGCCAAGAGAACTTGAAACGCTCGCCACACCGGCTTCTTCGGGCGGACGCGAAGATACATTGTTCAACCCTGTCGCGTCCGAATCGAGGCTCGAAGGAAGCGAGAAGATATTTGCGATTATTCCGGGATATGTGCAAAAAGGAAATAATTATCGGAAGGGTGGAGTTTACGCGCGAGTTTACCTCGGAGACGAGATGAACCTTTGGGGAAGTGCGTAGATTATTTGGAAGCGTCCAGCTTGACGCGGGGAGAATTTCGAATCGTACTTCGCTGTAGAATGCAGGAGAGAATCGGCAGAAATAATGAAAACGGTACACCGCCGGTCGACCGGAGTGAAGGAAAGCGGATGAGGCATTTCTAACGGAGACGCGCACGGCGTACGACGAATGCACTTACCGTTAGTCCCCGCAGACTGCTAATTCGGGAAATAATTCGTGATTACAATAGTCGTGTGTCTATTCTAATGAGGCGCGTAAAAATAGGCGGGTGTTAAATGACGCGTGTGCGCGTGCCAAGAATAATAAACAAAGGCCGCCCGTGGTGGTTTCCGTTAGAGGATTGCAACGCAGGTGATGCGTAAAGTTTCGGAAAAATGATCGCGCGCGTGTACGCGAAAGCGAGTAACGTTAAATCGCGTCCTCAAGGTAGGTGGCGTTTGCACAAGCCCACACAAGAGACATATTTTCAAATAAGAATTAATACGCACGGTGTTACCTCTTCTACGCTCCTTGTTAAGGATATAATTTGGAGATAAACATCTGTTATTCGAATGCCTATTTATTTCGCGTTATCAGGCGTGAGAGCTGCTCGGCCGCCAAGAATAGTGAGAAAAGTGAGTTTCGTTCTTGAAGTAAGTAAGAAAATAGTGAGTCAGCCTTTGGAAAAAGTGAGTAAAAAGCGAGTCAAGTAATTTGTATGTTAAAAATTGAATTTTTTATCAAACTATTCCTCTAAGAGATCAAAAGCATTGATCTTGTAGTATATCAATGTATGTAAATGTATGTAAATGTCAATGAAGAGTAAAATTTGAATTTTGGGGAGCCGAAGAAGTTACACATGACACATAGAATCTAAACTTTACTTTATATGTAAACTCAGTCTTAGACATATGTGTTCAGATACAATAAAACTCCTTAAAAAAAATTAACAGAAATTAAATTTTTTTTTATGCTTTTTTTTTCAAATATGCATTTCTAAATACGTGAGGAGAAATGAGAAAGTGAGTCGTTCTCATGCTTGCGATATGTATTTTACCTGCCTTTCTCGCGAGAAAAATAATATACTTAATAAATACTTAGTAATAAACAAAAAGAATAGGAAGAAAAACAGGAGAAATAATTTTGTAGAGTAATTTAAAATAAGTGGTACAAGAAAAACGGGCCTACCTTGGACGTTGATTGTTCCTGCTGATATTCGACAGATCGGCGCCCCTCTTCAGATACAAAGGCGCAAAGCCATTGGACATGGCGGCATGACCGAAGCTCTCGTCCTTCTGACACGTGTCAAGGCTCTCGAAGCTGCGATAAGGCCTGATCCTGGGAAAATGACCCGACAGACTGCTGGCGAAGCCGTTCGGCAGCAGCCTATCATAGTCCTGTTCCAAGCTGTCAGGCGAGTCGTTCTCCGGATGCGAGGCGTTCGACCTGTTGGAATACTCCAGCGAGTCGAAGCTGTAGCTGGACGGCGACAGGGTGGCGCAAGTCCTCTCCAGCGACTCGAACTGCAGCAACGAGCTCGACCTGGAGGAAGCTGTGGACCTGGACGACCTCGGCGACGCCGGGAACTCGTCATAGGTCACCTGGTGGTGCTGGTGGTCGGCGCCGTGGTGGTCCCGACGACGTCGCTTCTTGGGCACCACCGAGTTGCACTCGCTGCCGCTGCCGTCTAACCGTTCGTCTTTCGGGAACGTCAACGAGACGCGATGAGGATGACGACGACGACGAGAGGCGCGCGACGAGAAGTCGAGAGAGTAAAAGCGAGACGAGCGCGTGGCCTAAACCTACTTTACGGAATCCAGAGCACCCAGAGCATGCAGTGACGTTGCTTGTTTTTAATTCCGCGAGTCTCGTCGTCAGGATGGCTCCGGAGAGGGAGCCCCCCCCCTCCCCCCGGCTGTTTAACGACCCACTTCGTAAAATCGAGTCGCGGAAGTCACTCGGCCGCTCCAATCACGGTCGTCACTTTCGCCCCGTTGGGCTTCCGACGTCAGGAAGCCCCACGGTTCATTCAACCGGAAGCGGCGTTTACCGGCACCGTCGCTTGTCTGCTTCGTGACTGTCGCGCGTATCACGCGCGTGATCGACCGTGTATCGGTTATCGCCGATTCAGCCGTCACGTTTCGCGCACGGTCGTGCGGACGTGCACGAGAAGGCGCTCGTTAAAATTCTTCACCGCGAAAAATTTCATCTCTCTCTCTCTCTCTCTCTCTCTCTCTCTCTCTCTCTCTCTCTCTCTCTTACTCTGCCCGATAAATCCATAATTGAGAAGTGAAAAGGATGTTTGAGATGTATGCAGAGAGAGAGAGAGAAAGAGAGAAAAGGATTTCTTTAGGTTTGAGAAAGTTTTCTTGATTCAAACAAACTTGTCTTTCGGAATGGAGTAACAAACGAATGTTTGATTCAATTAATAGAATTGTTTGATTTTTCAAGCAACAAGTATCTTTACGTCAGATAATATATTTTTTCGTATTTTCATCCGAACATTACAATAGTTGTCACAAGCAATAAAATATTTGAAAAAGAAATATAATATTATGTTAGAAAAATATTAAAGAATCGTTCTACTTGTTTCTCACAGTGGAACAAAATGTTTGATACATAACGAAATAAACTTTTTTATCGGAAACCAAATATTATTTCCTCTAAATAATACTGTATTATCTATCAAATAATATGGTTTATTCTAGTGAAACAACAACGTTCTCATTCAAACAGAATAATGTTTGATAGTAAATTATGTTGTTTACATCAAACAAACCCAAGTCAAATACGTATATACCACATCCAAAGAAACCTTCTTCTTCGTGTAAATATTAAAAATATGGAAAAATGTTAAAAATACTCGGAGGAAAATAGATTACATCGATGAGGGATCGTGTTCGCGCGTCGGGAAATTCGCGATTCGCGAAATGCAATCGCGTTTGTCGTTACATCGATAAGACGAGCGACTTAGATCGCGGAGGAAGCAGCGGGGATGCGAGAGAGATCAATCAACGGGGATCCGTGCGTTATTTTAGAGTTGCATTTAAGACGACGCTCCGTTCGGAATCTATCCGTCTATTTTTGACCTTATCGTCGACTTCATCTGCCTTTCGCGGGCCCTCTTCTCAAGCATTCCTCCTCTGCCGCGACCCTCATATCGAGAGGCATCCGTTATATAAAAAGAGAAAGTACACGCGCGCCTGCAACGCTGCAACCACATACAGTTGACTGTCACGACGGTAACGTACTCGGAGGCGTTTAAAGAGCACGTGGGCGCAAACGAGACGCCCGTTGACGCGTATCCTTTCGTCACACTAATCCGCAGGATCTCGCAATTTTTCGCGACTCCGCGGACTCTCGCTTTTGTTTGAAATTTCACCCGACGCTATATCGCATACCATCTGGATTTCTTTTTCCTTTCTCGACTTTGTGTATTCCGCGAGTGATCGCGATTTCGCTTCCTGACGTCGGAATTTCCGTGTTCGACGTCGATTATGGCGCAAACGCGACATAATCGTGACGAGTAATAATCGCGCGAGCGCGACGATTACACAGTCGGATTTATCTCGCAGCGCTTTAATGGGCCGGAAGATTAGGCCATCGAGAGGAAAGAGAAAGTAGAACGGCCGGCCACGCGAACAATGTCTACTCCCGCCCGATCTTCGCCCCGGGCGACGAAGAACAATGTTTCACAAGATCGTCTTCGATGCGGCGCCCGTTCCGTAATATCCATCGGCCGAACGGGTGCGTGCATCGAACGGTCATAAAATGCTTACCGGCGGATCTCTGCTTCGCTCTGATATGAATCACGCTCTCAGTCTCCGAATCAGATCCCAACCAATACGTCGTCCCGCTGCGGTCGGAGTCGCTCTGCAGATCGTCCGACGTCTCCTCGAGAATGGTCTCCAGAAAGTCTACCTGCTGTACCAGCACCGTATCTGCAAACACATTCATTTTCAAAATCAATGATTGCAGTTTTACAGTTTCGGAAGAAACCCGTTTTTTTTTCTCAAGTTTCCCGCGAATTTCTTCCATTTATATCTCAAGGGTCCCAAGAATTCGTTTGGAAAAACTCACGTGTGTTCAGTTAAAACTTGCCACATTTATTTTTTTTCTTTTTTTTTCATAAAGAAGGAAAGAAACTAAAAACATTTCTCGGAAAAATTGAAAAAAAATATTGTTTTCTCCGAAAATTTGAAAGTGTATCAATGACTATTTGTGCAACACTGTATAATTCGCTCGAGGAAGAGAGAAGGATAATGTTAATATTAATATTACTTGCGGTCCGGAAAAGAGATTAATAAAGATTGATATATTACACATATTTAATACACCAAACATTATTAGTTAACAGAAGTATTTCTAAAATCAATGATTATTTGTTCAACACTGTAATTCGCAAAAACATTAAAGGGCGAGAGAGATAAGTAATATGAATATTGCGTACAGTCCAATAAAATGCTAATAAAGTTTAGTAAATTGAAAATTGTATTAAAGCTTCCTTGATGAAGCGAAAATAATGTTAACGTTGCTCGTGATTCGCGAAACATTTCCGCTCGCTGAATTTGAATTCGGTTTATCGACGAGAATCTGTATTCGACTTTCCTGATAGTAATGATAATTTTCATTGAACATTCCACCGATGGTGGGAATTGCGCGTTAGTTTCACGCGTCGCTCATGTTCTCGGCGCGCGTACGTCACTTTGTCGCCTCGTTGTCTGTAAAATTCGCGTCCAACGGAGCGTATAATGTAAACTCGTTCGTGTCGTCGTTTTATCGTCGAAAGCGCGGCCAGCTGAGCTCGCAGAAGCCAAGCGAAATTCTTAACGAGAGCTTGTGACTCACTCGTTATCGACGGCTTTATGCGAGCGCAACCATTATTACGTCCGAAGATAACGTAACTGGAAGGTCGTCCACCTCTCCAACCGAGCTTTCGCTGTCTCTCGAAGCCGGTTTGCGGTATTTTGGAACGCCTGTACCCATGCAACACCGTCCGACAATTACGGTCTTTCCTCTCGCAATATCAAGCCGATTTGCCCTTGGAATGAAAATCTCAAGCAGAATTGCAATTCCAAGGACGAATCAACGTGAAATTTCGGGGAAATATCTTACAAATAATCTTTCCTCTGAAACAAAAATATCTTCTTCACGCAAAGCTTTCATGCGTATCAAACCGTAATATATAATTCACTGTAACATCAACTTGAATTGAAATTAATTCCCCGCAATTAATACGTCGGTTCAAATGAGTTCGGTCACACAGGGAAACGTGAATTTCGTGTGAAAAGACATCGCGGCGAAGATGAACGCGGGTGCAATGGGTCAATCGCCGATCAAGCGTTCTCTCCGGCGAGAAGACAAAACAACAGGAACGCACGGCATCTCCTTCGTACGTTCCTGCCCCCTTCGTCATCGCGCTATGAATGATGGCGTGAACAGTTAGCCGCTGGGAACGGGTCGCCGCATAGTTGCACGGCCGAACGCTAGAATGCATTCGATGTAGCATTCTAAACCGCGACTATACCGCGGCTCTCCCGTGGAAAAGTCAAGCGCTATCTTATCCTTTCATCTGATTGAAATAGTTGCATAACGCACGGCGCGGTAACATTTACACGGTGCGTCGCTTCCCTGCACGCGGTCTCCCGCAACTTATAATTAGAGAGAAATTAAGCCGGAGGAAGAAGACTGATTAATACCAAATCTCCAGAAAGAGAGAGAGAGAGAGAAGTCGCATCTCGCAGGAGAAAGGGCCGATCTTTGGAATTGATCGTCATTCGTCGATAACCCTCAATCGCTCGAAAGTACACGGTGATTAAAGCACTTTTCGCGCGTAACTTTCCATACCGATAACGCTATCAAAATAAACTTTGCACATCTGCATCGGGCCTCGAGCCGCGATTGTAGTGCCCTCGGAGCGCGACGAACGCTCGCGAGCCGGCGTGAGAATTAATGAATGAAATGGGAAAAGGTTGGAGCCATGCTCGCGCGAGAATTTCCTTTGAAGTGTTCTTCCCTGCATGAGCGTCGATATTTTATCGCGTTACCAGCGCTCACAGTTACATAACGCGCTCACTGCGACCTGAGTCTTGTGCCTCAGATCATAATCTTACGTCTGAATTAAAAATACAGAAATATCGGCCAGAATGTACCGAGAGAGTTTCAATAAAAACCTTAACATTTGTCAAAACTCACTGATAATTTACAGTCATTTCCACACTAAAGAAAAGTTACTAGAATTATTTGAACGTAGCACTTTTTTTCTTTCAGTGTGCTACATTCAAGTAATATTTACTCAATCCAAATAAAATAAACTACTCCAATACTCCTTAGCAAATATTTACTTGAACGTGATACAATTTTCTTTCAGTGCACTACCGCACGATTCCAATTATTTTGCGGCTTGACAATTTACATATATATATATATGTCACTATGTTCATTTTTCTCGTGTAGAATTAAATTTCTAATTGAGTTAAAATTAAATTTTTATTTCAGAGGAAATAATGACCCGAAAAATTAAATAATAAATTTTTTCTCTCGTAGGTCGCTCGGCTAAATTGCCACTTGGACAGCTTGGCGCATCATATTATATCACATTCAGACACGATGCAGACGGCTCTAAAAGTCACCAGTGAGCCTGGCTTAGTCAACGTTGAGACTTCATCGCGTGCCCGGTGTGCTCGAGGTCGGTGAGAAAAGAATCGTCGCAGCGAGTCGCACCGTAAACCCGAGATACGGAACACACGATCATCGGAGCGCTTGGCGCGCTCGGAATCATCGATCGGCCGATCAGCAGTCCGAATAAAATTGCGGAGCCGATTCGAGTAGTGACGCAATGGAACGCGCGGATGCCCGTTGCCACGCCTTGTGAATCGTCGCGCGCGGAAAAGGAAAAAAACATCGCACGCGCGCCTGTGCGCGATTGATCCGGCGAACAAATTAGTTGGAATTGCGCGGCGCATCGGCGAGAAACCGAATCCATCCCGACCGGCCGGTTTACAATCGCCAATGATAAATCGACGCGCACACTTTTTTCTCCCGTGAGTTTCGAGTGCGCGAGAAGCCGGATAAGCGCGACGCTATCGATACTTTATTAAATGAAATCTCTCTCTTTCTCTTTCTAAACACGAGGCACCGTACACCTCGTGGCGATGTTGCGCGAGCAGGTCGTGCCGCTGAAGCGCAATTTGTCTTGCACGAGTGCGGAGGCACGCACCACTATGCAACATCATGGCGGGGCCACCTGTTGCAGTCGCCTGTTGCCGTTCCGTGACTAACGGACGGGAATAAACCGCCGGCTTACATAAAAATAATCGACCGGCCTAGCGTCTTTCGAGGCCTCTCAGCGAATATGGTGATAGCCGTGTGGAGTAAGTTGCACTCGCGAAAAAGACGGCTACGACGCTCCCCGGTCTCTTATCTCTGCCGTGAGATTTTCTAAATTCCTTCTCTCTTCCCTTCTCTTTCTGCTTCTTTCAAATAGGATCAGGAAAACCGGAGCGACCTTATCTCGATTTATGGATTCTCCGACAATCGGGAACTAATAAACAAAATAATTGAAAATAAATAAATTGAAGAAACGCTGATGCATTCTGCATTAAATTAAGTGTCGTATTTTTTTTAATGATGCGTCAAGGAAGCCACTCATAAATTTAGTATTTATCAAGCAAAATTACGTTTCTGTACTGTTATTTCGCTATCCAAATAGTAAGTGTTAATTTGAAACAAAATTGAGATAAGCATATATATATATATATTGTTGATATAAAAATATTATCTTTTTTTATTTTTCTTACTAGTGCTATATTTATGCATCAGTTGATCTAACAGAGATACACAGACAATAGAAAGAGATATATAAGTATTTAATGTATTTCAAGTATTATTACAAATTATAAACTTGACGCCACTGTATTTTCAAAATAAATGGTCAATAATTCTGAAATTTATGTGTAAATGTCTGCATATTAGTCTTTAATATTGTAGTAGTTTTTCGACACAATCTTATTGTTAGTTCAGAAGACGTTACAAATAGGAATTAAAAACAGTACGCCAATCTCGAAGAACACGTATAAAAAATATCTAATTTAGTTGCAAATATCTTAGCTCTTGAATGATTAATCCTTTTCTAATTGCACGAGCAATTAGATAATATCTCAGTGTGTATGTAGTGCAAGTTTAATCGAATTCTTATCAGACCCATTTCGCCTTACAACTTCCTTGCTATCATCGCTGAAGATGACTCAAAAGTTGGACCGAAGTTGCACTCGACTCGTCTGGTAACGTAAACTCTCTCGTCTTGAACTTGATCACTGATTTAAAAATCCACGCGTCTCTAGCCATGTCTTACTTGTACTTTGTAATTAAATCTAACGATTATACATCAGGGAGCCTTTTACGTTCTAATCTAAAATTAATCCCACGCTAAAGTTGCGAACGGCGATACGGCGGGATGTTTTATCCTTGAATAATATTTCATGGTATACTAATTTCGAGAGTGTTGCGCACTTCAATTTCTATCTTGGACACGAGGCTTTCTTTATCCCGAACCGGTCTCGCAGAGCGAATGATAGAAATGAAACAGAGCGGATAACTTTTCTCGCGCGCCGACCGACCGATCAGACTCTATTCGACTCGCTTACTCTCCATTTCTTACCGCGCGCGCTCTCGCTCGCTAATCAATCCACGTTAATTCACGTGCCGTGAAACTCAACAGCCGCTCTTCCCACGTATCGATTAGTCATTGTTACCGCATTCCCATCTAACTCGTTCCATTGACATCTGATTCTGATTGTGAGTCACCGACTATAAAATTCTTCGATGCTCCTTGAGAAGAGAAATTTTTTTCCCGAGACCGACGAAAAATTTAAAAGGGGCACGAAGGATAAAGCGCTCCGGAGAAGGCACAAGGACGAAGAGAATCCGCGATATCTCGTTCTGGAGCGATCGGTGTGGTTATATTATTATCGATCTTCGCGGCATTCGCGGAGCAATTCCACGCGGTCGCGATTTCAATGATCTCAGGCGGCGAACCGCCCCCCGAGATAACCGGTTGACATTGATTGCGTATTATATCAGACGGAAAATTGTATTATTTCCAACTACTTCCCGGAGCTCCTCCTCGCCGGCTCCTTGTCTACGCTCTAGATATCGGCGAAGCTGATATTATTACCGCGATTTCCAGCGGGTAGAAAACGGGGCGGCTTTGCATACAGATCGCCCGTTAATGGCCGGCCTTAATGCGGGCTGCTTTCTACTGAACGTGGGCGGAAGAAACGTTGGAAAAACCGAGCGAGCGAGCAAGCAAGAAAACGCGCGTATCCTCGGCGTTTTCCGTAAACGCCCGCTGCATATCGCAATTTTATCTCATCGAGCTACGCATCGACAGCGACTTCGATTAAGACGGCCGTTAAATGTGCGATCATTCTTGTACTTTATGTCAACGCATTGTCGACCGGCTGTTATTAACGTTGTCCGACTACTGTTTCCGACTATGTCTTCCTAAAATACAGGCATTTAAATAAAAATGAATGATTTTATTGATCTAATTTTTATTATGATTGAATTTAAAATAAAAATTGGTTCCGAAATGTACTAATATTCTTTTTAATAAGCTATGCAATAACGATCCCGTTGTTAGCCATGTATAGGGTGTCTCTAAGTTCACGATAAATATTTTAATAATAAATTCTTCATAAGATGAAAGTTCTAGTATGAAAGTGTCGAGGAAAGTGATTATTTACAGCAACTGTTCAATCTTTAACATAGCTCATCTTTCTAGATAATATCTTTAATTAAAATTCTATTAAATTAATCAGAGAAATTGTCCATTTGGTCGCCCGAAGCTTAGTTCGCGAGAAACTCCACTTTTTCAATCGCTTGATTCTAAAAAGTTATCGATACCTCGGCATTTCTGTATTTGAGCCTTCGTCTTAGAATGTTACAATTTTTTATTAAAATATTTATAGTGAACCTTGAGACGCTTTGTACAATAATTAATTTACCAAAGTGTGTATTTGTCCAAACACGAGTTGACTTGGTTAGTAATATGTTAACAAGTAAGCCTTCTTCATTATTGTGCCAGTGCTTTATTACAAGTTTACCGTAAAGGTAATCTCAGAGATTTTCCGACGAGCAGCGAATACCACGAAACGTTTCCTTTCCCAAGTTAAACGCACGTAGTTTCGGGCCGAGGGGGTTAATCGCTTGGCATGACGAGCGGCAGAACGACGACGACCCAGATCGTGGCGATCGCGCCCGGATTTGCGTCGAAGAGCGATCTAACAGTATTCCCCGGGCTGTTGTTGTTCTACGCCCGCTACCGGAACGGAAATTCACATACAATAGAGAAAGAGAGAAGGGAGAGCGAATTGCGTTTTTCCGCGTTCAAGACTCCCCCAAGACACCGTTTCCGCCTGCCAAGTTGCGAGGTTATCGCTGGGAAAACGACGATGGCAGGGAACGCGAAGCGCCGTACCGAAATAGCGATTAATTTTACACACGCATAAGCCAATTAATACGAATGAAACGCACAATTTAACACAGCGACGTGAGGATCGACGGGCAGTCGCCGTTCGCGAACAGTCGTGCGCGTTTCGCTCGCGTAATTCTCTAAACGCTCTACTTCACTGCTGTCATCAAACACCTGCGGTTTCTGTCTAACGTCTCGACGAGAACGTGTCGCACGTGTCGAGACGTTAGAGCGGTTGGCACGTCACAACAGTGCGCTCCCTCTCTCTCTCTCTCTTTCTCTCTCTCCCTCCAGAGGGCACACGTGCGTACGAGGAAAAAATAAAAAAGATAACCGGAAAAGAGAGAGAGGGAGGGATCGAGTACGAACCATTAGCCCGTAGATCCTCCAAGTGTGTCGGTTGGAAGTGGGAGTGATGCTGCAGCTGGAAGCCGTAGGCCGGAAGCCAGGGATTCGGCCCGTTCACCAGATCCATGTCGGCGGACTCGCAATCCGAGGTCAAGGCCGGATCTTCCTCCTCGTCATCGGCGACGCTGGCCGACGCCGTCGCGCTCGAATCGTTGCCGCTCATCGCGGCGCACCGCCGATCGCGATGACGCCTCTCCGCGTCCACCAGCACCGACGATCGTTAGCCGCTCCGACGAACTGTGAACCCCCTTTCCGCCTCTCCCTCATATCGAGAGAGCCGTACCGGAAGCCGCGCCGTTTCTTTCCGGCCGGGTCGGGCGAGACAGACAGAGAGAGAGAGAGAGAGAGAAAGAGAGTGGACTGCTACTGTTGCTGCTGCTGTGCGACGTCAGATTCGGCGCGATTTCGTCGGCCAGATCCGGACGTTGTCGAGCGCGCTTCTCGCCCGTCGAAAGGACCCGCAGCAGCTGCAACGTAATAAACATAACCCGATTAGTTGGCGAGCGGGAAAAGGGGAGCGTGTAATAATAATAATACTTCCTGACATTTCAGGAGGGATGCATCCCTCCGGCAAGGGAAAAGAGGATTTCGCTCGCGTTCTAAGAGTAGCTCTTTGAGTTTTACAGCTGTCTCCCACCTACCCGACGAATACGGAGCGCTTTTTCGTGGAAGAGCGCATCTCCATAAAAATCGTCGCACGGTCGCACACGACTTATTAACGACTAATTCCATCCAAGTGAGAGATGTCGTAAGATACATGAGAGAGCGCTATCGCGTTTAAGAAGCGCCCTTCAATTTCACCGTCCCCATTGTCGAGTTCCCGGAATTCGAGATAAGTCGAAAGACTCGAAGAGGAGATGTTGGCCTCTCCTCAGCATTCTACGTTGTTGACTTCCTTGAACTCCCAAAGAGAGAGAGAGAGAGAGAGGCTCTCAAACTTTCCCCGCTGGCATTCTCCGGCCGGAGCACGCTGCGGACGGGCAGGAATTCGCGGTGGAATCCGCTCGCGATTCACCTCGGGCTGCGGGGAGGAAGATCGGCCGCAGGGCCGAGCTCTCCTCCGGCGAGTCCTCCTCTTCCTCCTCCGCCGGTCAAAGATACGAGAGAGATAGGGGGCTTGTATCGCGATCGCGAGGAGGTCCTTAACGAGCGCCTTTACCCCAGGCGGGGTGTTAAATATTGCCGTGAGCCGCGGATTTACATGACGCGCCGGCCAGAGAGAATTTTCTCTCTCTCTCTCTCTCTTTCACACGTGCAGGTGGGAGAGTTACGTTTGTGTAATTGGATAAAGATCGGCTCGGGTCGTCGCCCTTCTCTTCCCTGCCTCTTTCCCTGCCGCCCACGACTCTTTTCTCTCCCACCCTCCCCCCGCCGGTTTCCCTATGTGCGATTCCACGAGCGACGGAAATTTTATTACCGCTGTATCTCTTTCGGGAGGCAAAACGAACGGCTTAAGGCCGATACACACGGTACGCTCCGGATGATCTTCGCGGATGAATCGAGTAGGAAGCTGCGCGCGCGAGAGAGAGAGGGAGAGGATATAAAGGGCCGGCCGAAACCGCTGACTAAGAATCGAAAGTTCATATCGATTTCGTAATTCTTCGAGATACGAGAGGCAATACCTGATATTGACGCGCTGTTAGGCCCGTAGTAAGAGTCGTTACTTGAAAGTTACCTTAAATAAGACGCCCCGATTTGAGTTTAGTTATAGATTTGAGCTTTGCATGCGAATGTTACGCGTGACGTTGGATCAGGACGACATTCGACGGTCGTCAAGAGCGAGGAATGCAGGAAGCGGAGAAAATTGATCGGGCTTTTCGCAGCTTCGCGTATCTCTCGCGCACGCCGATCGAAACAATCGCTATCGCCATTATTAGCGGAACGCGCACCCCGACGTGTCCTTGGGCAATTATTTCAAAAGCATGGAAAGTGTTGCGACAGCAAAGAGAACCGGAAAACCGCTGCGCGGCAAAGAGCACAGTGAGCGCATGACTCACTCTTTGTGTTACGGCGCCGCTCGTGTAACGTCACAAAGGTTCCCTTTTTCACCGACCGCGAATATCTCGATCGGACGCGATCTCGGAATCGACGCATTTATCCTCCCGATGTATCGGTGCCCGGGGATTAACGGATCTTTCACCTCGATTTTCACGTCCGAGTAACGGCCGTTTCTCGCGGCCGGCGCGATTAAATCGGGACCGATGCGCGACTCGGCGGATCTCAACGTCGTTAGAAAGTGCGACGATCACCGATTATTAATATCGATCGCGCGTGTCGATCTCTTCCCGTGGTCTCTCTCGCCAGCGACAAGCGGTTACCGCCGAACTGCACCTCGCGCTCTCCTTATACATCGGCGCGTATTTACAATATATGCGTCTGACTGCGTGCGGACGCACACTTTCACTTTACATAATATCCTTTCCTGTCGCGAACAGGGCGACGAGCGTGGATAAGAGCGAGTGTCGCGACGTCGGATCCCCATGGTCACGCGAAGACTCGCCGTTTCGGAGATCCGGCATTCGGAGGAGCTCACCTCAGACGATCCGTAATTCGCGACCGGAAACCTCCTTGCGCTGCTGTAATCGTCGTGTAACTCGAAGACTCATGTGCGTGCACATGTACGGGGTTTTTGCGAATAAAGATGTCCGCCTCGAGCGGCCTCGAATTTTAAAGATCTCAGGACGACCTCGCGTCAAGGACACACCCGCGTCGATCGCATGAGGACCGGCCGATGCTCGTGGGAAAGTTGAAACAGGCTGATCACAGCCGGGGACCCCGAAGTAATAATCTTCCTTACGATTCTCGACTGCTACTCGGCCGATCGATCAAATTGATGACTACGTTTGTACGCAACGCTAATCCGGTTTAGTATCGTTGCATTCCGTCTTTATCGTCCATTGGATGTAAACAAGAGTAGAATGACGAACTCGGCGAACGCATCTTAAACCGGATTAACGTTGCCGTGTAAACGCAGTCGAGGCCGTGGAAAACGAGTGCGCGAATCGAAGAATTAAAATCCCGGCGGAGCGGTTTTCAATTAAAAAGACTTCGAGGGACTCGAGGAGCTCCGTCGAGAGGAGATTTGAAGGAAATCGTGGAATCCGAAAGAATCTCAGACCCGCCTATATCCGCTCTGTCGCGTTTCTCGCGGCGATTTCGCGATACGAAAGAGAGAACGGCAAGGCGCGCGCGTGGCGACACGACCGTGAGGAGAGATAAAACTCGAGAGAGAGACAGCTGTCATTTGAAGAGTCCACGGGAGTGAGGAAGAAAGAAAGAAAGAAAGAAAGAAAGAGAGAGAGAGAAAGAGAGAAACAGGCAGACAAGACGCTCGAGTAGTAAAACAGACGCAATCGTACGCTCGCACGTACGTCGCGTGCGAGAGCGAGAGAGAAAGAGCGAAGGAGAGGAAGGAGGAGAAGAAGACGGAGGGAAGGCAACATCGCGCACTCGGAAGAAAAGTCCGAGTGCGGCGGCGCGGTGGATACCTACCTGTCAGCGTGCATTCCACGATCCCACGGCGTGCTGGAGCCAGCTGCGCAGCTCTCCGCCGAGGTGTTTCCTACGACGACAGGGCCAGCACTCGCGTACACCTTCGCGCAGCCAGTAGCACGTCACACACGAGACACACTACTTTGTCGACTTCCCTTTGTCGCGCGTCGTTCCGGGGCAACGTCAAGCCGGTGACGTGCCGCGACGCGCGAACATGGCGCACTCACTCAGTCGATTCGCACACGGCGGTTACTCGGCGTCGGCACGCGAATACGAACACGGCGGAGGAACGCGAGGGGGAGAAAGAGAGAGAGAGAAAGAGAGGGCTATTTCTCTCTCTCTCTTTCTTCCTTTCCTTCTCTCTTTCTCTCACACCTTCGGGCACGGTGATTCGTCGCGAGTACTCTCGACTCGACGGGACGACGACGCGGCACCGGGACGCGAACGTCGGCACCGGGGCTCCAGTGTTCCGACTTTGAGCACCGCGGGGTAAATACTACAACGTAGCGCGCCGCTTTCGCCCACAGAGTGCCGCACGCTGCGGCCAATCCCCACCCGCGCAGCGCCGCCACGTGGTAGCGACGGTGGCCAATCGCGGAGCGCGGGGCGCGCGCGCCCATTCTTTCGGTCTTGTTCGTAAAGTCGGCCTGTAGTTCGCGCTCGCGCCGAACGGATTCGAAGTATCGATCGTTCGAACGCTCGATCGCGCCCAGGAGAAATGAGAGAACGCCTCGTTGCCGGCTGTACAGGTCGTTCCAGTGCCCCCCGACGAAGGGACGTCCTCGTAAGCGAGTTCTGCGAGCTAACGACGCTTCGTCGATGAGGTGCGATTTCAAACACTCGACCGTTCTATTCGCAGGCGATTCGCCGAGTCTTCGTGTCGCGGACAAGTTGATCGTGAAGGGATACAATGGCGCTTTGTTGCCCTCCCCCCTCCTTTCCGCCGACCGATCGTTAAAGTATCAACAGCTCGTTATTCGCACGATTTTTCTTGCACGTGCATTCTTGATTCTCTGGAGGTTAATAGACGCTTCGGTGCTGATGGACGTTCGCGAACGTTCCAACAGGAAGACCCGTCGACCGATCGCCAGCTGCGCGATATCCTTCCGCGCGATCGGTATTTTGAAACGCGTGTACAGACGAGAACTTGACCCCGCGGCCATGAGCCGATCCGCTCCGCGTTCGGTGTCGGTGACCCGTCTTAAAGAAAGAAACTAATTCCAGGTCCGTTACGCACCGTTCGTGCCGTTCACCCGGGTTCCCGTAATCGTCCGAGCCGAATTTCGAAACAGCCAAAGTTGTCCTGTCGTACGTCGGACGCTTCTTTAAACGCCGAATGCTCCTCTCTCTCTCTTTCTCTCTCAGGTGAGTACGTTGAAAAAAAAAGACGCGCTACACTCGACGTCCCGCGTGCATGATTCAAACGACGAATTCGTAGACCAAGTTTATTTCTGGCCAACACGATTGCTTTGTTGCTCCTCGCGATGTGTCCCTCGCTCGCGAGTTCTCTCTCTCTCTCTCTCTCCTTCTTTTCGTATTTCATGACTTTCAGGTGAGCAAAAAGATAAAGAGACTTGCGCCGAGCATTTTGACGGTAGATGCCTTCCGAAATTCGCCGCCAACTTGAGAAACTGAGTCCTTCACCTCGGTCTCTGAAAAATGTTTCTCGATTACACACGAGTCACCGGAAATTCGTACGAACGAAGTGCGCGGTATATGTTTCTCGCGTTTGACTTATACGCAGAAGGACATTCCGATCGTCGAGTAATCTCGTGCCTTGATTGAGTCCGTTAAAAGAAGAGACGGCAGGACAAGAAATAACGGAGAAAATTACGCAACATCTTTCTTCTCGTCTTGACGTGTTCTCACCGTATTCGTAATATTGCAGGGTCTCCGTGGACGTTTCCTCGCACTCCTCCGTGGTCGATCTAATCGTCACGACTTCCTGTCTCTCGCAATCGTCGACCTTACCCACGAGCGGCACGTAACCAGACCTGGCCACACGAGTCCTGCCGGCATCTTCAACCTGGAAAACAGGTAAAAGTTTCCTTTGGTACTAACCGTAATCGTAGGCTTCGCTGGGTTCCTCGTTCACCGTTTCTTGGTCCTCCTCGTCGGCCTGTTCGGCGGTCTCATCGACGGCCTCGTCGGCGGTCTCGTCGTCGTTGACCTTGTCTTCTTCGTCACCTTCGTCCTCTTCCTCCTCGTCTTCGTCTTCATCCTCCTCCTCGTCATTCACAGCAGAACGATACGATCTGCCGTAGTCAGGTCGGTTCCGTGGTCGATAGCGTTGTCGAACAACGTAGTCGTTACTGCGATATGCTTGCTTGATCCAACGTGGATATTCGAGGAGATGACGTCGCGAGAGTTGTAGAGAACCTTCATAAAACGCGGTTTCCATGTTCGACGGATGCTTACGGATACTGCGGACAATTATGTTCGACGCGAGCGTTGCCGAAGAATCGCGACCGGGTCCATCATCGACAGCACGAATACGCGACAGAACTAAAAACGTCGAGAGAAACGCAAACATAAACATAGCCTGAGCTGTGTCATTATCGATCGGTAGCGATGCGATTTGAATGCAAACGCGATTAGATCAAGCGCAATCGAACGCGCAACCGCGATGCCGCTTGAAGTCACTTCGCCGCGTACGGCAAGCACGCATATCGAAACGGTTATATTACATAACGTGACCGCGTTTGTAATTGTGCGCGTATATGAATAATGCAAAAAAATATAGTCCACATCGAAAGGTATTGATGGAGAGACACATAAGATCGAACTTTAGACACGAGGAGTCTACGAGTGATTTTCTCCTTCGACGATTGTTCGATTAAAGCTATCGTTCGTTACAATGCAGTAGAAAATTACTTTTTATTAGCTTATGAAATATGGCGATTTATATATATTAGTATGTACACAATATATGTTCACTCGACGTATCTAATATAGAGTTGGGAATGCGTTGTTGCTTTCGAGTTCAAGCTGAATTTTTCTCCAGATATGCTTTCATCAAGACATCGACATGACACTGGGATAGGTTTATATATTCAGTGTTGCTGCATCCCACTACAGGACACCTGCAAATATAATATAATATAAATATAAATATAATAAATATAATATAAATATAATATATAAAATATGACTATAAGTCAGCCGTACATCCTAATATATAACATCCCGTGAAAAACGCACCTTGTCTTTTTGTTCTTCTTCAACACCGCAATGAGGCTTTCCTTGTCGTACACGTGACCACAGGCTGCATTTTTCACAGGATTGGTCATCCTTGTCTTCGTAATCGGATCGATAACGTTTATTTCAGTACTTGTGAGACACAAATCGGTATTTGAGTCATCCAACACATTGTTTGATGAGCCAGGCTGGCTTGCTGAAATATTTACATTATTTTCAGAGAAGAGTATTAAAAATAATATTTTCCGAGCAAACTTTACGGTAACAGAGATTACCAAACTGCACATCTTCCATTTGACGATTGTACGCCAACAGTCTCGGGTCTTCCAATGGGTTGATTTGGATTGTATTCATAGCTTTTCTAAATGTCTGTTACAGGTAGATAGTAAATATTGTGAATGTCAGAAACAAAACTTAAATCTGCAGGATGAGAGGTCAAGTTAGAAAGCTATATAAGTGCAATGATTATAAAATCAATCTTGAATAACCAATTTTAAGAAACCAATAGTAAACTTATAGGACGATGATGAAAGTAACCAAAAAAATTTCCTGATACTTCTAATTAACATGATTTCAAAAATGGACTAAATTACTTTAGAATTCTACTTGCTTTCTTGATACTTTTGATGTCATGGTCTAATATTAACTCATCGATGCTTCCTAATTGATCTTTAATCTGACTTGTGGCATTTATCTGTTCTGTCACACGACAATTCTCTATCACAACATTTTTCAATTCTTTCAATATATCTTCTCTTTCTTTCTCATCGACTGAAAATATCATGAAAAATGAAAAAAATATATTATTACATATAAATTATTATTTTCTCATGGGTGTATTTTTCAAATAGTTGTCTCCAGTTACGCTTTGACACTCAAAATAGAACATGCAAGAAGAAAACTTAAAAATGTACAAGATACATTGACCACAAGGCATGTTTCTAACCTTGCTAAAGCGTCTTACCATAGTATTTCATAATGTTTATTGCCATTTTCGTAAAACTATTGTCGAGTTCTCTAACCGTTGGTGCATTCTGCGCCATTTTCAATTATTATGCTGTTTTATACTATCAAAGATACTATCGTAATTATCCAACATGTATACAGCGCTTCTAGCCACTTTCAGCCGCCAATCAAACAATGGCTGCGTTCAGTAGGGCGCAATAGGTGGTAAACGGTTTATATGTTGTATATTTTGCTGAACGCTGTTATGGTGCAGTTCATTCGCGTGAATACTGTCAGCAAAAACTAATCTTTCAGTATTACAACTTTTTCGGCAGAAAGACAAAAAAATTATGCTAAATTAGCTATATAATTCGGACATGTATGATGATGATGATGATGCTCTAATGGTGATGCATTGGAAGTAGCCATTTTAGTTAACATATTTTACTTATATTCAGCGTACTTTAGTTTGCTGGAAAACATGGCAATCGCCGAATAAACATATTGAGGGGCTAAACGCGTTTAAGACCATTCAGTAATCATAAAACGGTCGCAGAACTGTTGAGTCCTGCTGAACACAGCCATTATGTGACGAACCACCTGTCAAAACATGAAAGTGACACCGTTAAATTTGCGAAAGAAATCAATCTTGCCCATTGCACCTGCTGAATTATATAACTCCTTGGAATATCTTATATTCATTATATCAGATACTTTTATACTCATTTTTTAAATTCTCTAAATATGTATATTTATGTGGTTCAAGTACAGAAAGTGCAGCTAAGCGCATGCGACGCAAGGGGCGCTGCGAGTCGATTCCGTTATTCGCCAATAAGAATGCGGTCCACTAAGTGTTCTTCCAACCGTCAAATCGCTTCATTGGTTAGGTTAAATTTTACTTGGCGTCCTCCTAGCGAGTAATTTCTCAGAACGACGTTTGCTCCGAAGAAAGGGACTGTCGTAAAATGTGTTCCATGTGTTTTATGTTAAGATAAGATAATATTTTATTGTTACAATAAAATGGCACGCAACAAAATCACGTGAGTCGATATGAAAATATAAAAAATGATGACGAATCGAAGTATAAATCATATTCACTTGATGGCCCACGTAAAATGAAATAAGGCTGTCGTGAACGTTCACGAGAGAAATAGAACGTGCTTCAAATCGAAGGTGAACTACTAAAATGTGAAAGTAGTTAGCCTTTGCCAATCGTTCTTTGTCCTGTTTCACTCGGCTCGGTTTTAATCGACTCAGAGCAAGCGAATATACCATGAGAGGCGCCACGTTTTTCTTCGTGCTCACGGTGAGTTATTCTTCCTTTTCTACATTTCGAAAATATCTACAAAAGAACGGTGAAAAATCGGTCGTCTTAGAGAACTTGCTCTCGTGAAGAAATCACTTAGTGAAATATTGCACGAGGAAAACGAATTTGTTGGTTCTATAACGAGCTCAATTATGTAGTCTGTCAACTTAATATTAAAGTCTTGGCTCTTCGGAGATATGATAATTTTCCTACAAACAGTGAAGTGGGTCAATATATATTAATAAATGTATCATTTGACGATGCGCTTCGTTTGATTGGGTCTTTTGATTCGAATTAATTTGAATTGTCGAATCTCTCACTCAAAGACCAATAGCGTGGTGCAATCGTATCTCAAGTGCTTAGAAATTTCTGTTCTCCTCCTCTGCGCGTTTTCCTTGCTTACACGTTGCATAACTCAAATATCACGTTGATAACATTCACTCACCCTTCAAAGCTCGTTCAGTGGATGTTGAGTTTTCGTTCGCGTCATTTCCTCAAATAGCGGTTTTAACTTCGCTTCATCTACCATATCGTCGAAATTCGGTATGTATCTCCCACGATTCTTAAATGTTTCTAATTACTTCTCCTACTATACATCACTTGATGGGCGCCATGTTTTCCTGAGAAATTAGATGGTGTCGAACTAATCGTGACGACAAATAACGCGTGAATTAGTGGTTGACTTAGAAATGACGAAAGAGTTCGTTTCTGTAAGAATTGTTTCCCCGTGAAAGTTAATTTTCCCGCCACTTTGCAGCATACTATAGTTAAGTTTCTCTTACACGTCGTGTGTTAAAAACATCGTTCTATCTTCCTCTAGCATGTATTGAGCAATAAAGATGGAACAAAGTTTGAAAACAAGATAAACTATAGCTGATAAATAGGTTATGTAAATTTTGTCGTAGGTTGCTACTCTGCATTTTTGTTGCAATAGTTTTAATATGTTACAATAGTGTCACGAAGAGCAACTTATCGCGGTGGTCACTTGTGAGAAAGTAATGTCATTTGCTGTATTAAAAATACTGTATTTGCTAACACCGTTTTTTTCCATAATTCCATATTTCTCCATAATTCGTAAATAAATATAAAACCGTTTCTCACTTAATTTCATATCACCATTAAAAGTTACTAAAATTAATATTATTAATAAGATGTAACTCGCTCGCTTATTTACATATGTCTGTTCCAGAAAAAAACAGTTTAATTAAGCAATTTTCTGCTACCAGCAGCTTCATAACTATTGAAAGATTTTCTGCTGAATGACACTTAGCAGTTTATATTTCTCAACGTGTTTATTAAGTGGTCCAGGGTATTGGAAGTATATTGGAAAAATGGTGACAGCTTAATAAATATGTTGAAGAAGTCTAAACAGTTGTATAGCTGCATGTGGTATAAAGAACTTGCTCCTTTTCTACTGAATGTAACCTATATCTGTTCACATAAATATCATCTAGATGTTAACGAGAGCCTATTTTCTGGCAACAGCAAGTAAGGTCACATCATTTAATACACTGAGAAACATCAGAAATATCTCTGAGATGTCAAAGTTTGATCTTCCTGCGCGTCTGAAAGGCAGTGAGAAGTCTGTATGGTAAGTGAAAATCTTACTTTGTTGTATAAGTATATGAAAGTTTATTACTATTTATTTACATTTACCCCTTAGGGTGGAATATATTCAGCTCGCGCTGCAGTACAAACCATTGAATTTAGGCCAGGGGTTTCCTGATTATTATGCGCCCAAAAATGTGACTAATGCCTTGGCTGCTACTGCAAACAGCGATAATCCGCTTTTGCAGCAATATACTAGAGGATTTGTAAATATTATGTATTATTAGTAGTTTAACTAGAAATTATCTATCTTAATGTTATACGAATCTTTACTGATACATATGTAATCTTTACACAGGGTCATCCAAGATTAGTGAATGCAATTGCAAAACTCTATTCCAAAGTCATCAACCGTGACTTAAATCCAAACCAGGAGGTATTAGTTACCGCTGGTGCTTATGAAGCATTATTTGTCACTCTGAATGGCCACACAAATCCTGGAGATGAGTGGATCGTCATCGAACCCTTCTTCGACTGTTATGTGCCCATGATACGATCAGCTGGTGGAATTCCTAGATTCATAGCACTGAAACCGGTAAGGACTGGCAATAATTAACTCAGAGGAAACTTTCAACATGTAACATGTACATCTGATCTAATATTATTTTATCATTTTCTCCTACAGAGATCCACAACGGGCACAATCAGCTCTAGCGACTGGATATTCGACAGGCAGGAGATGGAAAGTCTCTTCAACGAGAAAACCAAAGGTATTATCATCAACACGCCGCACAATCCGGTAGGAAAGGTGTTCACTTTGGACGAGTTACAGTTTATCGCTGATCTCGCCAAGAAATGGAACACTCTCGTAGTGTCGGATGAAGTTTACGAGTGGATCATCTACGAGCCATATCGTCATATAAGAATAGGTAAGAATCACGAAATCGACATAAGATAGAATTGCGTGAGATTGTATTTTGTTTGACTGTTCGTTATCTTTTGTTTAATTAGCGACGTTACCGGGTATGTTCGAACGTACAATTACGATTGGGTCAGCGGGCAAGTCGTTCAGTGTAACGGGTTGGAAGATAGGCTGGGCATATGGGCCTGCGAATTTAATGTTCAATCTGCAGGTGATGCATCAGAACACCGTATATACCTGCACCACTCCAATTCAGGTAATTTAGTTTACAAAGAGTTTCTAGAGAAAAATACCTTCTGCAGACTAAATACTTTATATACTTTTAAATATTTTAATTACAGGAAGCGGTTGCTATCAGCTTCGAGCTAGAGTTGGAACGTTTCGGCCAGCCAGAATGCTACTTCAACAGTCTGGCGAAAGAACTGATGCCAAAGCGAGACTACATGGCGAAGTTCTTGTCGGAAGTTGGCATGGTGCCGACGATACCCGAAGGCGGATATTTCATGATTGCCAATTGGACATCGTTGGAGAACAAGACGAAGCTGAACGAAGAGACGGACGAGTACAAGGACTACAAGTTCACCAAGTGGATGATTAAGAACGTCGGCCTGCAAGGTATACCACCCTCGGCGTTTTACGGTCCCGAGCACAGACATCTGGGCGAAGACTACGTGCGATATTGTTTTATCAAGGTAAGTGGCACCATTTGTCATCAAGACGGCACACGGCTACGGCGTTTACTAAACATCGGTCGTTGCGTTTCTATAGAAAGACGAAAACTTGAAGGCCGCTGGCGATATCTTGAAGAAATGGGCATCTAAATAATTTATTTTGTATATACATATATATACAATGTACATATATTATGTATATTCTCGAACGCGGATGATTTTCCGCATTAGTTAAATCGGTCAATTTGTTTACATTGTCTCTATCACGACGAAGGTGTAAAACAAGACACGCAATTTTTACATATATTTGTATCTCTGTGAATATATTATAGACGGTTCTGTTATTCTTATCTACTATATTCCTATTTGTACGCATTAATATCAGGAGCTATTTTATGACGTTTCTTTCATTCTCGGTTCTATGAATCGTATATGATATTGTTTTATTGTCCTAAGTAAATAACGGCAACTACGAAGCCAGATTAAACGGAGTCTCGTCGCAGCCATCTTTTGGCGTCTCTCGTGTCAGCTTCGAAAGTCTTGCCGTACCTGCAAAGTAAACATTCGTTCTTGAAGAAAATTGACGTTGGTGTTTTTCATTTAGATCCTCGGATCCTTTGATCTCCGAGCTTTTTCTTTCTCTCTTCAGACTTGAGTCCCCTTTCGAAGCCTTCGATCATTGACTTCTCAAGATCCTTTGAATCTCTTAAATCCTTGAGTCTCCGGGTTGATGTTTTTGGATCCTTAGATCCTCTCATATTCCTTGATCCTCATACATATTCATATCATACACATATTCATTTAATTATAAACTCATAATTGTTGGCGACTTGCCTGAACGCGGCGCCGGGAACGTGGCCAAGATAATTCGGTATCAGGCCTACGTATTTGTGGTAGATTTCGCTGGGCTGGACGAGTATCGGAGGATCAGGACCGGAGATAATCACTTCTCGATAAATTATCGCGCAATCGTGCAGAGGCCTCTCAAATGGCAACGTATCGAGACGCACGTTGTGAGAAATATGTTTCGCATATCCTTCTCGAGGAATAGTTAAATGTTATATACCGTAATATATGTAAAACATATTCCCAGAGCTTCTTTTTCAAATTATCTTACAAAAATACAGGTTAAGTTGGATTATAATTATTTTAAATTAACAATCGGTGTGAATTCGGTTGCTCACTTCTCGCGTTTTCGCGAATGAAGGAACGCCAGGTGTGATTTTCCCCGTTCGAAAGTTGCATTTCACTCGATTGCTGATGATCGCGCGAAAAGGGTATTTTTAAAGATCGGAAAAGTAGAGCTCGTGAATTTATATGAGTCCTGAATATTCGATGACAGATTACGGAACGATTTCCTCGTAATCGATGCGCGAAAAAACAATTGAAATGAGAGATTCGACATTTGCATCGTTATAATTAAATGTATCGTTAATAATTAAGAAAAGATTTTCTTGAGAATTTCTTGAGAATGAATTAAATAATTGTGGTGGCATTGTTAATGACTTGATAATATGCAGTAATTTATTGATCGATCTGACAATCACATTAATGCCTTCTATCGGTAACGATCCTTGACACAAATATATTTTCCCGTAACTAATGATTAATAAATTTTAACATCGTTATTTGGTTGGAAATTAATTATTTGTACATTCTTCCATGTGGTAATAATATTACGGAAGAATTATGCGTTTCCAAATAGTTTCTTATTCATTTCTCGTTTATATCGCCACCGTTCACGAATGTTTCCTGTTTATTTTAACCAGTAGGTATTGTATCAAGCTAGCTTTCTATACAATTTGTGTACAAGGTGGAAGTGTGTGGTCTTCCAGTATCTTTTACTGCCACTTTACTGCATGTCGGACGACGAGTTCACCATCGCTCCCACACATTCCGGTAGCACGGTAAGTCTAAATCGGCCTTTTATCGGCTACGATGAAAAGGAAAGACGATATTAATATAGATCAATGAACCTCCTCAAGCTATGACGTTGATTTAAGAATAACGATATATTAATAACGGAATATTCTTTTCTCCAACCTTACGATCCTTCGGATCCCGCGGCTCGCCTTGTTCGCATTGTTGCGCGTCGATCCTTCTTCTCAGCCGATCCCGCGCCTCCTTGTGTCGTAATTGATGTCGTTCGAACTCGGCGACCTGCTCGGTCGTGTGCACCGCGAATCTCTGTCCGCATCTAGTGTCCAATCTCGGTATGAAACCTGCGCGATATATCCGACATTCAATGAGTCCCAGGAGGAGGATTCGTTCACGGAAAAGATCTCCTACGACGGAAGGGGGACTAGATGAAAATTCAATATCAAAATATAAAAACTCGACAATGAGAAACGATATCTCTTTTATCTCGAGTGAGAACATGCAGCTGTATCAAAACTCGAGACGACTCGGAGCAATTGATCGAGCAGACACCTATAGAAATTTTTCTGTCCTTACAAACGAGTTTTCATTTAGTCCACCGACAGCGGAAAATCCAGTTACATCAACGGGGTTATTTGTTCCGCGTTTTACGTCACAACGTGAATATTATACGATGATGTTACGCGTCTTGAGAATTTCATGCCGATAAGCACCCTCATATCCAGGTAACATTGGATGGACGAAGATAGAATCGGTTCTCTTGGAGCGTGCGTTGACCATGTCTACATCACGTTGCGGTGGTCTTGTCACCTACTAAACAACGTTCGTTATCGGGCAATCGATAAGATTATATTGTGAACACTCCGGCGATAGGACACATACCGGTGTGTCATTGACGTGCGTCGGACGTGAAAGACTTATGCTCACGTGATTTGTTTACTTCTGCATGAAAGAAGAAACTCACGGCATTATTAGACTCTCGTCGGTTCGTCGGTTTTGAATAACGAGCTACATTTTACGGGACATTTGTATACAAATGTATCCCGAGGAAAGAATCGGCGGTTGAATCGATCAATAAAACTGACGATCTCGTTCCAACAAATTACGCGTGATGTAACGATAATCGTTATACAGTTGTGAGCCAGGTCACAGTCATCGTATTGATTAACAACTCACCGCAGGAATTATGAAATCCTACCGATAATTATGTAATGATATCGATTATATAATATCGTTCATGTATGTATAAAATGTCTGGCGTAAGCTGTGCCATCTGTCACGTACATACATGTAGTTTAGGTTGATGTGAGCAAAAAAATCCTCTACTATTTTGCAAACAACCGCGCAAAATTTCGAGTTATTAATTACCGAAAGTGGCCGTATAAAGGCTTCTTTAATTAATACTGATAACTCAATAATTTGATGATAGTTGGTACAGCTTGTGTCAGACACCCTGTATATATTAATATTGAATATTAATTAATTGAATGGTTTAATGATAGTAGATAGTTATAGATATTATATAACCAAATAATTATATAATCTGATAATTAGGCAATTAAGTGAATAGTTAAATCGATGAACAAACTTTGCCCGTCTAAGCGAGAACTCGTCAATTCCAGCGCTCTTTTCCTTCAATGTACGGCAAATTTCACGGACATATTTTACGTGGCTGTCGCATATCGCGAGGCATAACAGCGTTACGAATTGCCCACCTCGCCGACCGCACGGCTCGACAGGATGAGCGCATCCGCATGGTTAACTGCAGGATCGAGTAGCAATTTGTGCGTAGTCTTCGCGAATGTTTCGCCGCATCTGAATTGAAACTGCGGACAATAACCGGAGTACCTGCAAATAGCAGCCGACGATCTCTGTGTCAGCGAGATTCTCGAGGCCGGTCAATCCGGTCGTCCCGATCGATCGTAATTGTTCGGCGAAAATTCACTTCTCACCCCGGGATGAGATGAGGCTCCGAAGTGGTTAATAGTTCCATCCCGGCCGTCGTCTCTCGTGAAATTCGCTGCGCCGAAGAACTCGTCGATTTTACCGGTGGGAGGGAAAACTACAAATTTCTTTGCCTCTTAGCGAGAGGGTTATCTCAAAAACATTTTCAATGTCGAACACGCCGCCGAACGATCGAAATTCGGATGTTTTATCGAGCGGTTGCGTTCACTCGTTACGTACTTCTTTTTTACGATCTTGCTTTCAAGTGAAGAATTCATGCGGGTTGAGATAATCAACCGGCAAAGGGAACATCAGGACGATGACGAGGAGGGGGAGAGAATGCCCGTAATAGAGTAGGGAGGACACGCGTTGCGTGCTCAAACGGGAGAAGGTGCACAATCATTGTTTCGCTTTTCAGTTTTCACGGGACCACCGCGACGTTAACACGTCTCGCTCGGGTTTTCCGGGATAGCTCGTCTCGCTCGTGTGTAAAAGCGCGCTCGGGTTCCTTTGTTATTTTTTTTCTCGTAATAATTATAATTGAACATTTTAATGAGAACTGAGTTGGTAATGGAAAAGTTTCGCTCGCGATTGCGTAAAAATGCGGAAGCCGCGATAAAAGTGATTTCGTTCCAAAACGAGAAACGCGTCCGGAGTGAGTGCGAGAGTGAAGAGAATCGCGAGTACGGGAGAGACAGGGATCGACGGGAGTAGTCGGCGATAGAGTAACGTGGAGATTTCGACGAGAATATTCACGAGACGCGAAGTGTGACACGTGGTGCGCCTCCTCTCCTTCCTCTCCGTCCGTCTCGTTTCTCCCACGATAATGGAAGGACTCCGCGGTTCAGCGCCTTAATGAATTATTTAGTGACGAAGATCATGTGGTTCCGACGAGAGACCAGCTCCATTTTCTACGTCGAGTCCGACTGCGAGCCTGTCAAATTGGCCGAGCACAAGGTATAAAGAAGCGGTTCGAGCTAAGTAAGATTCATCTAAGTAACCGAATTAACCCGCTAACGATAGTATACTGTGCGATCGGCCGCTTGATTAAACACGACTAATCGCTCGCTCGTTCGTGCACATCAATATTCATAACGGCGCTCGTGAGAATTAATGCACGCCGTATCGGGAAAGGGAGGCTTCACGACGACCTGACGACGATGGGGAGGGCGGGGAGTAATCATGCGTAATCGGGAAAACGGCAGACCCGGCTTGCGGAAAAGTGGAAATTCCACCCGCATCCGTGTGGAAAGCGCGTAATAATAGCGCGTCGTAAAAGGAAAAAGTGAAACTATACCGGCGGTAACGCTTAACGCCTGGCCTGCGTTTACGAGCTGTTTCGACAGCGTGGCGAGGGAGAGCGACACGACATAACGATGAAATTACTACCACGATGTGATGATTTCATTTCCATGGTTTTTCTTCCTCCCTCTCTCTCGAACACGCGCTGAATTTGCGATCAGCCGACGACCGCCAGCAGCGCGTTATTCAACGCGCTTGCGTAATGCGTTAACTAACGGTCGCTCGCGGATTTTTTTACTTCACGCACTATATTATGTCGGCTGATGTTTGTCTTACTAGAAAAAAATATGAAATTCGAGTACACGCCCGACGTCGATTCGCTCGATGTTAAGGCGTCACCTTTTGAGGATCACGGCCAGATGTAACCGGCGAACGAAACGACGCGACGTCAGGAGGAATAATCATTTTCTCCTCGTAGCTCAGCCGGTTTTGTTTCACGTCCCCGCAACCGGAAACCGCCTTATCGCGTCGCACCGCGTGGTTTTCCGTGGGTGGACATGTAGCGACAACAAAGACGTACCGACACACGAGTATTGTCATGCCGGGCGCGTTCGTTAAGTCGGCCGGAATCCGCGGGGGACAGCGTCGTGTTTTCTGACATCGAGATACACACCGACGTGGCCCGGGTTTTCGCGTGATTCACGCCCCGTTTTTTGTTTTATATTTAAAAGTCGAAAGCTTCGACAGGGTTCCTCGGCGCAATCGCCGGCTGGAGCGGGTTGAATCTCGCGGCGCCGAGAGAGAGAGAGAGACATCGATGCCTCATAAAACGCGTTCCCCTCCGCGTCGTTCTCGTCCCTGAGCTGCGCGTGCGATAAATTAGCGGTTGTTGAATATCAATGCGCGGTGATCGTTAATCCCGGTGAATCAGACGACCGGTTAATTTTAACCGGCCGTCGTGGATTCTCCGACTAATTAAAGCCCGTGGAGCGACCGTACGACGTGCATACGTGTGTCGCCCCGTTTCCCTTCGATTTGCATATTTTATGGCTATTCTTTAGAAACAGAACGAAAGAGAGAGAGAGATATATATATTCTCGAGCAACGTACGGTTAGACATGGGTATTTTAAGCACGCGAATAATTCATCGCGTCGCGGTTAAACCAGACGGATTCGTATCTGCGTTTTATTATTGCGACGGGGCGGGGGGAAAAAAGACGGCGGAAGCCTCGAGCGGAAGCGGCGCGCGGAAAGTTTATCGACACGCGCGACAGCGTGTTTCGCTGAATGTCAATCATTTTCCACGGTAGTTTGCGAGCAGAGCTCGCTTGGCTCCCCGAGCACGTGTCCCTCGAATAAGGAGGAAGATCGGCGTTAGATCTCGTCGCGTGCTGCTGTCCCACCATTTTTTTCTCGCGCGTTTGTCAATTTAGCATGCGGCGATGCATGCGTCGTATCCCGGCAAAGTCAGTCTCTCAGAAGAAAGAGAAAATATGCAATACTCGCGACGTCGCGTCACATCGCTTGTCGAAATCCCGAGGAAATCGCGCGTTTCCGTCCGAATGAAATCCGCCGAGCGTTCGATGGGTCGCAATAAAAGCGGCCGTCCTCGTGAAAACGGGGAAGATCGCAACGGTGAAACTCGCTCGCTCGTTCCGCCGACGAATTCGCGGCTCTCGCGGGCAGACGTTTTAGCGGGATCAAATTTGCCGGTCGTTCATCAAATCGTTGAATCGAGAGCGTCATTCTCGATCGGGAGTGAAAGAGATCGAACGGAGGAGAAACTCGCCGGTGGGTACCAGGCGAAATCGCGCGCGGTGGTTCCCACCTGGCAAGTGCATACGGCGTGCGTGAGTCAGCGCGCGTTCGTCGCGCACGTGCGTGTCGCGCGTGTAAGCGTGAAGAAAGGGGACGAAAAACACCCGTGAGGCCCACCTAATTTCATCACTTCGAATCCGTCGCCCTGAATGTCAATGGCGCTCGTCGACGACGACGCGTCGATATTTCGTCAACGCACGAGGTATCGTTCTATCTCGGCCCGGAGTGCATTTTAGATTCGAGCGTCGCTACCCGGGAAGCCCGGACAATAAAACGTCGCGAATGCGAGTCACGATCCGATCACGCGGATGCATCGGCCGCCTGTGTACGCGTATGTATACGCGCGAGCGAACAAAAGGGCGAAAAGACGCGGATGCGACGCGCGCTGCGCCACCGATACGTCGCGGCGACGACGACGTTCTCGAGGAGAGAACACGCGCGTGAATAATTTATGCAGCGAACGCCTCGCGCCACTTATTCATCGATCTTCCTGTGCCGATCTTTTCTTCCTCGGAAACACGAGCTCGTGCCCGAGTCTATAAATTTTGCTACTGCGTTAAACCTGCGCGGAATAATTCCGGTTTTCAAGAGAGATCTCGATGCGGAGACGTCGAGATGTAACATTGTATACTAAGTAATAGTAATTGTAATCATTTAATATTCAATAATATTTCTCGACATTTCATTCACGATATTTTAATCTTTATCTTCAATTCCGTGAAAATGAGCAATGCGTTGATTAAATAATAACGGAGTTTGCTTACCTGCAAATGGAACATACGCGATAAACAAATATTGAATAATTAATATGGATAATTAATGAGAACAAGCGAAATAACGAACTTTCTTTCTCTCTCTCGCAATCTATTTAACCCTTTTATTAGCGTAGAAATTTCGTAGGATTTGGAGAGTCAAGGGATTCAGATTAAAAAGATAACAGGTACAGTCAGAATATGTAATAATGTAGCAATGCTATGTACTGATAGAAGTTAAAATTTACATTCGATAAAATAGCGATAAGCTTTCGGATAGAAGTGGAAAGAGCATAGTGGGGGAGGGGGAGGGGGGGGTAAAGTCAAAGTCGGGCCCGCCGGTAACGACACGTCATATGTTCCAGGTGTACCTAGTCATTTTGTTACGCATAATGTTCCGGATTTCAACGGACGTTTGACTAACCTACAGAGAACAAAGGGATACCTCGAGTCAAAATTTAAATCGGTATTCGTAGCTTGTTATTTGATAAATAATCTTAGATTTTTATATATTCATTACAGTTTGACACACACACGCAATGAAATTTAGAATAAGATTTGTATAATCTTGAAAAACTTGGCTGTTCAACCCGATTTCTTTTTTTTCAATATAGTTATTTCCCTCCCTCTGTTTCTCCTCATGATTCTCCCGCGTTCGACTTCAATCCGACCGCATTCTGTTTATCAGGGACACTTATTCGTCGTTACTTAATGAAAAATTATAGATTTTCAATTTAGTTGTAGGAAATTTTGCGCAACAAGATTTGCACAATCCTCAGACTCGGCTGTTTTATCCAATTTTCTCAATCTCTGTCTCTCCTCGAGAATTCACCGGCATTCGGCTTCAGCCTGACCGCATTCCGTTTGCCTCTCTGCCCATCGGGAAGCGCGCGCATTCGCAGTATGTCCTTACTTGATAAATAATAATAGACTTTTCCTCAATTTGACTCACACAATGAAGTTTGGCACGAGTTTTACGTAATCCTGAGATTTCTTCCCACCCAACTCTATCTCTCTTTCTTTCCGTTTCTCCCCGCGACTCCCCCATATTCGACTTTAACCTGACCGCATTCCGTTTGTCTCTCTGCCCATCGGCGAGGGGGTGGGAGGGGGCACGTATTGCTCGTAACTCGAGATTCGGGAGGACCTCTCGCGATCATCATCGGGGCAAAGAGATTACGAGACTCGATCTTTCCAAAGCCGGTCGACATTTCGAATTCGTGAATCATAGAGCAAGACGGATTACGCTCGCGACGTAGCGATGATTAAGGGCCGGAGATTAGAGGGAATCGTCGGATACGTGGAGGAGGATGTGGTTAACGGTGCCCCCGCTCGGGCCCTTGCACTCCTCGACTCGACACGTCATAAGGAATGAACGATATTAACATTTACGCCATACACGACGCCGACCGGCTCCGCTTGCCTCCGCACGCCGTCGTGAGTCACGCGCGTCCGCGGATCTGGCA